ATAATATAATCGTAGAAATAATTATAATGATAATTGATAATAATAATTATTATTAATATTATTATATTATACATATGTACGTGTCTACGCGTTAATTGTTTACTCTTTTTACCGTAATATGTTACATCTTTATAATTAAAAATTTACAAGACACTAGGGATAAACGCTAGTTAGGAAGTAGTTTTTACTCATTATTTTTGTCCCCTAGAACTTTTTTTAACGCAACATACTTTTTTTTTTTTTATATTATTGTTAACTCGCTTTTAATTTACCATTCGATAAATTATTATTATTATTTTATTTTTACTTATTTTTATACTCTAAATTCGGAGTAGCGGCGACGGCATCATCATCGATGATATCTGCAGCAGAATCTATTGTTGTATTGTAGTATAATACATAGGTATTTATATAGAGCAATATTATACAATAACACATCACATAACGCGCGCTCGGATCGCTCGAAACAGCAGCGATCTAGATTTTTAATTTATTTTTTTCCTTTATGCAGATAGAATATCGTTAAATAATTAAAATCACAGTAGTTATGCCTTCGGTGGCTCTTAAATTTATAAATTGTCCATTTTTTTTTCTTTCTTCAATCTCCTCCATCGTAACGCCTAAAACTTATGAGATAGTTCGTGTACGAGGACAGGGAACGTGTAATTACAATATTCAACCGCAGAACTAATGTCTTTAGCTAGTAAGTTCAGTTGTCCACTATCTATCGTCTCATTACATGTTTCGATGTTGTCTCGCGCGACATCGAGATATCTGGTTATTTTTATATAATCTTTCTCTCTATTTATTTTTGTACATGTATATGTGCATATGTATACATACGTTATCAGTTACATGTCTATGTTCGGGAGTGTCCTTGATTATTCGTTACGCCTATATAAACATACATGTGATTTTTGCTTCATGTTGTATAAGTATAATAATTGGCGGGCACGAGATAAATCGTATAGGGAGCTGCGCCTGACCCGCTTGTCGGAGGGACCAAGAGGTCCTGTCGGTCACTCCCACAAACGCTGTCAACGGTCGACTTTGCATTTCGAGCGGAAAGCTAAAATGCAAAAAGACGAAATAGAAGGGGCACGCGAAATACTCGTGTCTCGCTAACTCCTTTGCTGTAGAGTCGCGTCCCCGACATTGCTTGCCTCAGGCCTCCAACGAAGTGGCTCTTATTGTTTCTCGTTCTTTTGATTGTCACTCGTGCAAATTTTTTAAAGTAACGATAAATTTACGCATGTAGAAAGATATTTGCCGTAACGCTAAGCATAATTTTTTGCACCCAAGCAAAATAACTCGAGATCCTTGGAGGGTCACGATCCGTGCGCCAATGCAGGCAGACAAGTAAATTTTAATATCCATAATAATACGTCAGAGTGCTTTCAAACTGTGGCAATGACGATGACCAGGTGAGCGATTTCCGCAACTCTGTGCAACAAATCGGGAGCTATACGAGCCAGGCTTTCATTGGCAAAGTCGCACGATGGAAATATGTGAACAACAAAGGAAGGCTGTAACAAAACAAAACACTCTCATGTTTTTCTCGTTCGAAGAATGTTTTTTCCAATACAGTGGAATTGAAAAAAAAAAAAATAATAATGTACACACCTGCTGGGAGCCAGGTGCAGCAATGTTAACTATTCCCGCAGCTTGTTTCTGTTGCAAGTAAGTGATAAAGCCAGTTTGTAAATTTTTGCTCTGCTGCAAGACGTCCAAGTGGTCACGGCCGCAGGGGAGTGCCAGAAGCATGCAGTGCTCGTTGTCAATCTGAGGAAAGTAGGAAAAAAAAAAAAATGAATACACACACGTTTTATATATTGGAAACCATGAAGAAAAGAGTGATCGGAGCTGCGCAGCGTACCTGCATCTTTCTCGCGACACCCTCGACCTGCGTCTGTTCGAGCCGCATTCTCTGGGCGATCCTGAGAGGAGGCGTAGAACCGTCGCTGTTGCAGGGTAAACTATCCCGGGCGACGTTCGGGTTGCCAAAAACAAAGTGCATCTGCACGGCTGCCTGATCGTTCTTGAGCGCGAGCAGACCTTGCCACATGACCGGGTAGCGTTGCAACAGCAGGAGCAACGAGTCCGCCGGCTGCGGCGAAGCGTGCGGGGGTGAGCTGACCAGCTGTTTGCGGTGCCGGTCGGGTGAGAGCGCGCGCTCGGCAACCGAGGTCTCGTTGGAGGCGAGCGGATACGGGGTACGCAAATGAGCCGGTGGAGGTGGCGCGGGTGGCTCATACGGCCCATAGGCCCTCTGCACGTACTGACCCGGCGGTGGTAGTCGGCCGGGAGCACCGTGACCCAGCATATAGACCTGCGCGACTTGCGGACTACCGGTCGTCCTCTCGTGCGGAGTTCTGCGATCCCGGCATAGCTCCAGTGGTGGACTCTGTGTATCTTCGAGCTGTTGGGGCTCCAGCTTTGGTTCGAGTCCCAGGAGAGGCGATCTCGCGCCTGCCACCGCGGCTGCAGCTGCCATGTGATATGGTATTCGTGGCGCAGTCAGGGCTTCTTGTTGTGCTCTCAGATACTGGTATTGCAGAACTTGTGGATGATGCATGTAGTGCGCGGCTAACTCGCCGGCTCGTGGAAGTCCAGCGTAGTGGTTGACGACGTCACCCTAAGAAGAATTAAAGAAAACATTTTTGGATTTGTTTTTTTTTTTTTTTTCCATTTTAGTCAAAATAAAGCTGAGCTTCAATTGAAATGAGTCCAGTACCTGAGGGGTATTAGCGTGGTGATGAGCAGGCGGAGGTAATGGGGGACTCTGGGGCCGATGTAAGAGCCCATACTGGCCTCCTGGCGAGACAGCCGCACCAGCACTTACATGCTAATAAAAAACAAGTACAGTTTATTAATTAGCAAGACGATAAAAAAAAAAAAAAAA